ATATTTAAAAAAAATAACAAATGTGCTTCTATAAGAAATTCATGAAAAACTCTCTCTGAGAATGAAAGAAACACATTTCTTTTGGTACAGCATAACCTTTGAGGCATTATTGCTGATACTGGCACTTACATTTTTTAGTTTATAAACCTACATATAATTGTTAACGAGGTTAATTAACTTTTTAACTCTACTTTTTAACTTTTCAATTAGCTTTTAACCTTTTTTTTCTCTACTTAATTTACAGTAGGTAATATATCATTAAAGCGCTCATCTAATTGGTCAAATGACAAAATAAGATGTACAGCCATGTAGCAGTATCTTTGCTGAATGGCTGGATATACATATTGTGCCTCTAGACTTCACTGAGGGATGGGGGAGACTCCATTTGTAAGGGGTATGCAAGTGATCAAAAACGCTAACTTGCCCTATAAAGGGTTAATGAATATGTACTTTGAAATCATTGCTCAAGAACCAAAAGTCAAAACATTTGGGTAATTATTATTTTGAAAACGAAAATGTAAGAGAATGACTAAAACCATGTTTCTTATAAACTAGTCTAGACTTGAATATGACTACAACATTTTTTTGTGTCTTGTCCTCTTCTGAAGGTTTTTTTTTACTTTATAAATTCTTTAACTACGTGATATGCACCATTGGAAAAAAGAATGTTCTTCTAGTATAATCCAAGAAAAAAACAGCAACTGTAGTCATTTGAAGGAGTCTTTTCATGCATCGTTCTATAAGTCTCTCATATCGTTGTTGAGAAATCTTGGTCCATATATCCATGTAACTTTTGTTTTTGTCTCAAACACAAATTCTTGAGGGCTGGTGTCCGGTAGCTTTTAAATGTGTCCCCAGCCTTACAGTCAAATGGATAAACTAGCAGGGTAGCATGCAGTCAGACCATGCAAAGCACTGCTAATGAACTTACATTGGAGTAAGATGTGTTTAAGCAGCTTCACACACTGTAAATTAAGATTTTTTTTTTTTAAGTATAATTAAAAGTGTTAATTTCTTGTTTAAAGTATCCAACCTTACACTATAATCTTAATTCAAGAAATCTTGTCAAGTAAAATTATCTTTATGTCTGGACAGATAATTGTACTTTTTTTGGAAAACTTTTCCCACAGATTTAGTATTGTTATCTTATTTCTAGACACCCCTTTGCAGTGCATTTAAGGGCGTACCAGCCCTTAAGGGGAACACTGTTTTTTTTACATTGGCCCCTAGATTTTAAGTTATTACATCATGTTCTACTCACCCATATGAGTTTTGTGTCATTTGGAGCTGTTACGAAGATATTCGGTTAGGTTATATCCAAGTAACGTCTTCCTATGGGCAACGAGTAGAAGGCACAAACTAAACTGTTCATAATTTATCATTTATGATACGCCTGCATTCATAACATGTAAGCGAATCACTGTCCCCCAGACATCCGCGGTTATGTTTTTTTATATTTCTATCTTTTAAAAACAAAGCGGAGTGTGTATGACATCATCCGCGCGTGTTGGCTACCATTCATTCATCCTGTCTGCTGAACTGCTGCTAGTTTTACTCACATGCCTGAAAGATGTCTAGTGCTACTACCACAGATGATCTTGCTCTCAAAATGTAATTTAACGATTCAAATTAGCTAGTCGAACAAATAGAAGGGGTAGAGCGTAGCCGCCTGTTGTCATCCACGCGCCGGGCTGCCTGTCACAACTCCAGTCCGGCGCATGGATGACATCATACACACTCCGCTTTGTTGTTGTTTTTAATATAACCGGTGATGTCTGGGGGACAGTGATTCGCCTAAATGTTATGAAAGCTGGCGTACCATAAATGATAAATTATGAACAGTTCAGTTTGTGCCTTCAAGTCGATCGCACATAGGAAGATGTTAACTGGATATAACCTAACGGAATATCTTCAGAACAGCCCCAAATGACACAAAACTCATATGGGTGAGTAGAACATGATGTAATAAGGTAAAATCAAGGGCCCAATGTAAAAAAACGATGATCCCCTTTAAGGACTGGAATTTGAAACCAATAGTTCACAGTGACAGCAATTTAAATGGAGACTTAGACTTTGACCAGGCCAGTGCAGAAGCTTGACTCATTTATTTTCTAGATGATCTCTTCTAGATTTGCTACACTGGCCTCATATTTGAGAATACACTGATTCCAGATTCTTCAAAAAAAAAAAAAAATCATCTCTCGGCTGTGGTGTTTGAAAGTTGTACCGGAAATTAAATTAGTTATGGTTTGTTTTCCCCATCCATTAAGGAGACTTTATATTTCTCCTTTTTTTGGTTAAGATTGACAATCGTCTGAAATGTGTTCTTCTTGTGATTAGCATGTTTTTACTGCTAACTGATGGACTTCAAATAGATTCATAATTACCCCTTAATCCCTTTTAGATTGTTGACTAGCAACAATTGTTTTTTAAGTTCATTGCTCATGTCTTTACTTCTGGGCATTGTATCAACATAGCTGCATTTTCCAAGGGAATAAATGCTTCTTTTTTTTAAGCACATTTACTGATGACCAGTTCATGAATGAATCATCATCAGCAGTAACTTGAACCTTTCTCATATGAAACCAGTTTTGTGGAGTCTTTTCTATGGCAGCATTAATGTCTAATTAAGAACGATAATGTTTGGTTTTATTCAGTAAAGTAACAACTTGAGTCTGACCGATTTTTTTAGATTCTGCATCATTAAGGAGTCTGGAAGTATTGCTCTTTTTAGGGAGCCTGCTTGTGTAGTTCACTTCCCAAAGATGGGCCAGCTCTTTTAAATAATAAATGACTCTTTATATTTGGACTTTTATTTTACCTATTAACCTACAAAAATAAATGATTTGTAAAAAAATTTGTATGCATTTTTTATCAAGAAACTTCACTGCCTTACTTTGACCTTTTATTCTTTAACAAAACTAATCTTACTTATGATTAATATTTATGTCAAACTTTTCACTTGCACTAATAAGCAAAATCCTACAAAATGATTTGTAGATTTAGAACTAGACATAACTAGAACCACATTTAAAGAAAATATATTTAAGCAATCAGTAAAGACATTTAGATCTGTTGAAATATGGCGGAAGTTACTTGAAATCCTTTTTGGTTTTTTTGCAAGTCAGATTGTTAACATTTGAAATTGCCACTTCAGAAACTTAAAATGTAGTTTTTACAAATCAAAACTCATTTTTAGACAACCAAAATGTAAATACATTTATCAAGCAAAGCCGATTTTATGTTAAAACGGCTTGCCACAGTTTTGAGCATGGACAGAGGGAAAGGTTAAAACTCTATGTAGGCTGGATCTTCTTATTCACTACGAAACATCAGCTTTCAGAGCTGCATCTTTTTCCCACATCACTACAGTAAAATCGAAGCCTTTGAAGTGCAGCTCTGCTCTCCCCCCACTTCAAACAGAATACTTTGATGCAGAGTAATAGGAGCCAAATGAAAATCTTTCTGGCATATTTTGTAAGTGTGATGTTAATTAGAAAGGAATAAACCCTCTCAATGCTTTCTGTTAAAACCCTTATTAGTTTGGTCATAGTAACAAGTGATGACAAATGTAAAACTTTTAAATGTAGATTACACAACATTTAATATTTTTGATTGGTATGATAACTGGCTGATGTACAAATTTTTAAATGTTTCTTAGGCATCAAATTTAAATTTTATTTATCCATCAAACACTAATGATCAATTTATTTTTTTTTCCTTCCAATAATCTTCTAAAGTTCTGTTAAGATCTTCTAGAATACTTATTTAAAGATCCCAAAAATACATCATATATATTCATACATATTCAGTTTGCATTTAAGTAGCAACTTTGTGTAGTTGAACCAGGGTTTGATTCATTTAGGTCATCTGTTACTCATAAAGAACAGTCGTATATCCAGCTTGTATCATCCCGGTTAGATTGGACAAATTATAATGTTAAGGCAGGTAGAGAGCATCATTACCAACTTTGAAATGAATCCCATACCAGCATTATCTGAAGAGTTATTTACAAAAGAAGAACCAATTTCCTCCAAAAGCTACATAAAAACAAAGATAACAGATTGCCAATGTCCACAGGGACAGACCCTGATTTACAGAAACATGTACAGAGGTTTTATGAAAATCATCCCAACCATGAACTAAACCGATAAAAGCATCACGTTGTGTCTGTGTTTTGCTATAAAAGCAACTTGTCACTGAACAACATAGATTGCATTATAAAATAAACATTACATGTACATTTTGAACCAATACCTCATCATATATGGACATCATATATGGAGTTAAAGCCAGGATCTATCAAATGAACAATCGAATCATACAATCGAATTAGCAGTAAAATGGAATAAGGAGATCAAAGCCATGGTTTAAAGCATTCTTTAAAATCTATCCATCCATAAACCGCTAAAAAATTTTGTGCGCAAAGATGAAACGGTGTTTGTGTGAGCAAGGTGGTCTACAAATCTAAAGCAGTTCTCTGAGCTCTATAGAGAAAGATTAAACAAAATCTTTTATTTACCTATTAAGAAAAAGATTGGTCGTCCTAAATGACAATTAAACAGGGGTAGTTTACTTTGATTTATCATCAGGAAATGAGGAAAACATGATTGCTAAAATTCATATATAAAGTTTATATCAGTATTACTTTTGTGGAAGAAAACTGGATTGAAATAAAATTCAGCTTTAACTGTTTTTCAGTGATTTGGAGACTTATGAAAAGAAGTTAGAAAAGCAACAGTCCACAAACCCTTTATATAACCAATGTAGCATGTTTGCTTCTTACCAATTTAAGTAAAGGAGAGACTGACCAAAAAGAACTGCCTTAAAATCTCTACCTGGGCAGCATAGCTGCTGTAAATCCCTATAAACTGTTTGTACTGTGTATTGCCCATTCTGTGTGACTGAATAAGCTTTCAGAGATTGTGAGGGAATAAAAGAGCCAGTATGAACCAGTAATACCATAACTTCATGCTTGTTCCTCGCTTTCTTTTCCACAGAGATTCGCGAAGCTTTCAAGGTATTTGACAGAGATGGGAATGGCTTTATCTCAAAGCAGGAGTTGGGAATGGCCATGCGTTCGCTGGGCTACATGCCGAATGAAGTGGAGCTTGAGGTTATCATCCAAAGACTTGACATGGACGGTGCGTCTCTGACCTTCTCTCTGCTTACATGGCCAAACTGTCCAACACCAGCTCCACTGTGACATAGTTGCATTTCTGTCTGTTTCATCAGGTGACGGCCAGGTTGGCTTTGAGGAATTTGTCACATTGCTTGGTCCTAAGCTCTCTGCTGCTGGAATGCCTGATAAATTCCATGGGGCTGACTTTGACTCCGTGTTTTGGAAGGTAGACTGAGTCATAGTCAATTATTTAAATAATTATGACTGACCAGTGAAATCGATATGTATAGCATGCTGTTTTTGTAATTGGAGAACTGTAATTATTAGAGCACAATTTGTTTTTTACAACTTATCTGTTGAAAAAGATTGTAATTTTAGCTTAAGAATTCACTTTTAAACATCCAGCTTCTTTGTTCTTCAAAACAAAATTTCATCAGCTGTCTTAGGAAGATAATAACAACACAAATAATTTAAAACAGATCTGTGTTTTTGATCAAAGCTGGCGATCAGGGAGACTGGAGCTGAAGTTTCTCCTCCTAATTAGATCGTTCTTTGTGTTTTCTGTGTTCCCAGTGTGACATGCAAAAACTGACAGTGGATGAGCTGAAAAGACTGCTGTACGACACCTTCCGTGACCATCTCACCATGAAAGACATTGAGAACATCATCATGACTGAGGAAAACCACCTGAACAGTCCAGAGTCTCATGTGGATATTGACAGTATGTATCATCCTTTTCTTTTTTCCTTTTTATGTTCATTGACATGTTGAAGCTGTGCGAAGACTCTACAGTGCACTGATGTTATGTTCTATTTTCCTAAATCTCTTTACAGCAAGCCCAACGCAGCAGGAAAAACACACATGTGTGCGTAAAAGCCTGATTTGTGCCTTCGCGATTGCATTCATCATCAGCGTCATGCTCATTGCAGCTAATCAAATGCTCCGCAGAGGAATGAAGTAAATTAATGTTGCCAGCGGGACAAAGCAGAATCTGGTGTTTGGAAGAAAAGAAAATCATTAGCCAAAAAAAAAAAAAAAAGCTCTTATTTTCCTTCTTAATTGATAGTCAAAATGATGCTTTCACAGCCTTCTCTAAAGTATAAAGGATCAAATGATGTCACACATTGGTTGTGAAAGCCCACTTTTCACAGCTCACCATGGCAAAAAAAGGAAAAAGGGGCTACAAGGGCTGATTGGTGTTAAAAACATATTGGCTAAGAAATTAGAGCAGAACTTGGACTGTAACTAATAATGTAGAGCTTCAGAGTACAATAAGTGATGTAAGAGTAGCTGTGGTGCATAAAACCCTTCGGTCTAGTTCAGCATGTGGTCATCTCACATGCACCAAATAACAAAGTACCAATGATCGTAATAAAGCAATAACAATGTTACCCACATATGGTTTAATTTTACATTAGAATAACATGACTCTCCCCCACAGTGAGGAGAATCTTGTATTTTCTGATAAAAACATACATCAAAGTTCCACAACTTAATCGGAGTCTTTGGGCACCTTTAATTACTTATCAATGATGTTAAATATGAGTTCAAACACACGGATACTTTTAAGTGCTGTTCAAGATCAGAAAAATGAGAAAAAGCGCAATTTAGGTAGATGAATTTGAGGTTATATAATATATATAAAAAAATGCTGTTCTGGTTGTTCCACTTATCTTTAGTCAGAGTTATAAATGAAAAGGTTTACATAACTAAAACTGTGATAAATTGTTTGCTGTTACCTCACATAGTGAGTAGGGGGGGACAAGAACGTAAATAATTAAACATCAGGTCACCAAGTCTCTAGGACAACTTATTTTGTACAAATCTTTTTTTTTTTAACAGGCCTACCAATAACTATGGAGGGCATCATATCTTTAACACATTTTTATATATTTTGGTGCATTACACTTAACATTAGAATAATATGAAGGGTGACATAAATGACCTAATTCTTTCCTTGTCCAAACACAAAATATTTGCTGAAATGGTTGAGACAAATACAAGAATAGATCTTATGCTTTTACATTTTAGACTAAAATTAAATCATTTTTCTCTATATTAGGTCATTTATACACCTTTTACTGTAGATAGTTTTAAAGTCACATATTGGAAGTTAAAGAAGGGTGCAAATAGATGCACTGGGACAGTTGGTATGTATGAGACACAGCATATAGTTGAGTCTATGTTAGCAGGAAACCAATGAGTAGAATAAACCAGTGGGAAACCAAAGTATCACTCTGGGAAGCACTGTTATAATAAAATGGATTTGGAAACTCTGGCTGAGATCCCAGACCACATGTAGTGGGCTTCAGTCAACTGATCAGGCAGAAAGAAAACACCCCAAAGAAGATTAACGGGTTGCCTGAAAATTAATTACAGCGCTTAAAAGCTTACACAGAGTCTTTGAGTCAAACAGGTGTTCGGTCCACTGAAATGTGAACAACTTAAGTTGAGAAGAATTTTTTTTTTTAATGACAAAATTTGCCAGCAAATTCGCAATCATAATATATCCCTTGAAGCAAAATAACTAATAAGAGTAATATGAACTCCAAACTTATTGGCAAAACTGATATGAATATACATAAAACATTAAACATCAATTCTTTCTCCTACTGATCTTTTGAGAAAATCTAAGTCCTTCTATTAAGTGAGGATAAAATCCCACATCGCAGAATAATTGGTTGGTACCCTCACTGTCAATATTGATCTAATTTGAGAAAAGGACATGGCTCCACTAAAAGGTGCATTTCAGCTAACATCCTTTCTGGATGTTTGTAATGGTAGGAGAGAGAAGGCTTAAACGACATTACGGGATGTATAGACCATTTAAATTGTTGTTACAGAGACTTGGTGACCCCAAGGTGCAAATCTGTGCTGCAGGTCTCTATAATCATGAGCTTTAGAGATCTTTTTTTAACCTGGTTTAGCACCCTCCTCACTGCACACCAAGGTAAGATGAACTTGGGTTCATCCAACTTTAGTTGTCAGAGGTTAAGTTGTTTTTAAAAAATTATTTATTGCTCAGATTTTTTCTGTACTTTCGGTTGATAAAGTTTTCTTGCAGCCATTTCCTTGCTTAAAACATGCAAAAGTCTTGGGATACTAATACATTTTAAGATGGTACATGCTAATAAAATGATTTAGGCATGTTTATCCTATGTGGAAACCCTCTGAGGTGTCACAACAGATGCAGTAAAAGTTGCCTCTGGAAATTCAAACAAAAGCTTCGAAGATTCATTTACTTTATGTTTATTCACTGCTCTTTACCTTGGGTGCCAGCAGATGCGGAGGTTGCAGAACCCTCAGATCTAAAAAAAAAAAAAAAAAAGTGTTTATCTCTAATCCATTAAACAATTCAAGACAAGATTGTACGTTCACAATCACAACTCACTTGCAATACATGGAAATCCCAGCTGCACATTTCAAATCAATGCATTTAAACCATACTTTCAGAGAGACCGTTTATCTGCAGAATTATATGTTTAGAATAAATGCAGCTGTGTTTAGACCATGTATTACCTGTAATATTTATAGCAAATGAATATGATGTATTCTATGCGGCACACTTGCATGTCAAGAAATAATTGTGTGTACTGTGTGGGTGGTATACATTTTTGAGGTATATGTTAAAATAATTATGCAATTTACTAAGTGATAATTGCAAAAAAAAATGACAATTTCCTGTAAATGTCATTTTTGTGAAATGTGCAAACAATATCGAAATACAAAATTCTTTGCATTATGCTGTGAACAATAATCTAACATATCATGAGGTGGGGAGTCGTTGTCCAGCTTTTACATTGAGCACTTAGACAATACATTATTTGAGTATACACATCATTATATTTTCTTATACCTGGATTAAATATGTTATTTTATTATTGATATATGCATAAAGTTTTATAAAAACATAAAAAAACTAAACAAAAAAAATAATGAAATCATGTGTCTGGAGATTCAGATACAAGTTCTGTATATTAAGGCCATGCACTTACATTCACTTTTCAGATTTGTTAATTTTTAAGGTTTTACTAAATGATTCTTATTTCACTAAGTCAATTAAGTTTATCAAAGCTCTACCACAAAGATTAACAGCATGGGAAGATGAGAATCACTCTGGCAATAAATATATATTTTAACTTATGTAGGCGTTTGTGTAAATTAAAAAAAAATGATTTATATGACATTGCTTTACCTCTTCATGTGAACATATCATGTAAAAATGGATGTTTTATGGATAGACGATATAGTCTCTGTGCCAAATCTTGTCCTATGATGCACTGTATTTGTAAATGTCTTATAATATGTGTCACTTTGTCGATAGGTTGTCTTAATTGTTTGCGTTTGTAACTGAATTTTGTCATTTGGAGTTCTAGAGATAAAGTAAGTATCACTGAAGCAATGCAACCCCAGACACTGTCGTACAAAGATAATAAATCTTTTGTCAAATATGAATGTTATGTAGAAAAAATATTGTCTGACCTGAGCTGGCTTATGAGTAGAAATCTGCTCCCCCCCCCAAAAAAAAAAAAAACCTCTAAACCTTCTTATAAGCATTTTGTCTTCCAGCTGTGATGCGTTATATGGAATTTTAGTATCTAAAAATTTAAAATATATAGTCTTTTGTTTTTGTTTTATTTTTACTCTGTAAAAGTCACTGCATTTGTTTATGCACTATTGTGTTGTCGAGATGCATGTGGTCTAATAAAAGCAAGTGAAATAGTAAAAAGTCTGTAGCTGTCTGTGTGTGCTAAAAATAAATGAAGGTGAGAAAGCTGCAAAGAGATGCGCGGTTTATTGAGGACATTTGCATGCTGTCAAATCATAAAGACAAATGATTCTATTATGAAGTGAAAATATGGTGAAAATGCATGAGCCCTAGGGTTAGAAAAACAAAGTAATACTGAATATATTATATATTCAACAATGTTGGCAAATAATCTATCACTGCTGCATGAATCAAAAAAAAATTTTAAGATGCAAGCATTTGTGGTTAAAACTTCAGAATCTAAGAGGAATTGTAGATTATGGGAAGCTGATAAAGTTTGCAGGTGCTTTTATAAAACACCTGTACATTCAACATCATCAGTATAGACGTTCTTGCATTGGCAAGCATAAGATGCTACCATTTATCTAAGGTCCTGAAAAACACCCCGACTTGTTTGTATGTGGGTGAAGAACTCATGAACCAACTTAGCTAAAACCTGTCCTAAACTTAAAAGTTGCTTACGTACACATTTTTATTACCCAAACTGAAGCATGTTTTACATTGACGTGAATTTAAAAGCTACCAATCAGGAAAATAATCCCGTTTCAAAATGGATGCCATAAAACTCGACTGAAAACTACATTAAAAATAGCTGAGTGTGGAAGAGTCAAGTTGAGTTTTTAAAACTTAGAATGCTGTGCAAAAGGTCAAGCATAGTGGAGGAAGCATCAACCTGTGGGGATTGTTTGGATGAAATGCCGCATCAAAGGTCTTTAGCTTCCAGAGTAAGAGATTACTCAGTTAGGCGTTCAACAGTGAAATGATCCCAAAGGGGAGTGGTGACCTAGTGGTTAGGGCATAGAGCTTGGAATCCTGAGGTTCTGAGTTTAAGCCCCACTCCCACAGACTGCCACTCTGGGTCTCTGAGCAAGACCCTTAACCCCCGAGTGCCCCACAATGGCAGGCCACTGCTCCCCAAGGGGATGAATTAAATATCAGAGGTACATTTCTCCAATGTGAGATCAGTAAAGTTCAATTATTATTATTAAAATATTTATCAGAGCATGTTTGGAAAAGTTCAAGCTGGGATGAGCATCACAAAGCCCCGAGTCTGTGGTTCAGGTTATAAGCTGAAGATCGTACAGAAAAGTCCACAAAGTTTACACCAGAAGGTTGGAATGCCTGTCTTTTTGGCAACTGTTAAAGTACATGAGAGATGTTTTGCATTTTGTCCACCATGTGCAATACTAAACCATAAATGTTCTCCCTCTTCTGCAGTCATATGTTAACCTAACATAAAAGTTTCTGAACTGTGGAAAAAAGCCAGAGCTACTTTTGATAAAAACTTTTTTAACAGAAAAATGTCTGGAGAAAAACTACACTAGGTTACATGAAAAATAATTTTTTTTTTTAAGATCTCAGAATTTCTCATGTTAGTCTTCTTAATAGCTCATTACTTATATTTTCTAGGATAAAGTTCAAGCGCAATGTGAAAGCCAGCAGTTTAATTACCGGATTCCTCAGATGTCTACAATTTTTGCTGCTTGAAACTTTTACTTCTGAGGTCAAGAAACGTAAATATATTCTAGCTGCATGCAGGCTGGAAAATGTTTTCAGTTATATAATGACCACATTTAGCATTTAGTCATGGAAGAGGGTGAAGAAACAATTACTGTGTCTCAAACTAACCTATGATCCACATTCATTATTGAGTAATGGAAAAATAAAAACAGTAAATAACATCATTTATTAATATTTTGTTCTTTTTTTTTAAAGCACACTCAAATCTGTGGCTCAGCCTACAAACTGTCCTCATAAATGGGACTCCACTTATATATTAAACACTTGTATTCTATGTTTATTCAGAAGATCTCTAAAGAAAAATCTAGACCCACGGTAAAAAATACAGCAAAATTTAATTGCAATACAAAAAGAATTTGTTTATTTCTCCTCTTAAATAGCAACAGGTCTTTATCGGAGCTGAAAAATAAAGACGTCCTCCAACAAAAATGTGAAACATTCTCTTAAAATACAAATGTTCCTTTGTTAATGTTGTTTGTCCTTTTAAAATTATTTTAATACTAAAGAAAAAATATCTCTCAGCCCCAATCGGTGCTTGGACTGACTCTCCATCCGCCTGGAGGAGGCGGTACGAGTGAGGGTGGGAGGTCAGGAATAGTGAAGAGCTGTTGAGGAATATCCCGTTCTGCTTCGTCCTCCTCATTGTCCTCCTTGGTTTTTAAATCTCTGCAGAAATAAATAATTGAATGGATGAATTCTAAATGAACAGAGTCCATTATTAGGCATGCTAAGCATGTAGGCCAGTGTGTTAATACAAAAAAAGAATGGGGCATACCCTTTACTACCAAGAGCAACTTGCTTCTTTTCCCTTTTCGAGAGCCACTCCTCTATACTTCGTCCTGCGATCTTTCTGTCCTCAGAGTCCTCTTTGTGTTGTCTTTCCTCTTAATTAAAGAAAATATGGCATTCATTAAGACGCAGGAGTAAAAGGGCATTCTATACGCAACATTCGTCTAACCTAAATTATTTTGTCCATTCATTTTTTTTATCATTTTGTATTTGTATAAAATAACTAGTATTATTATTATGCCTGAAAGTGTTGCTTCCTAAATTAATCTCTACATCTACAATTACATGGTAAACAGCACCACCTAGTGGCCACTACTTACGCTCCATACGTCTCTTCAAATTGTAAAGATGCTCTTCAGACATGTGAGAAAATCTGCAGTTTGGACCAAAATCACAAATTCCTAAAAGAAAAAAAACATAACAAAAAACATCCAACATGATTATCTGTCTGATAAAGAAATGTTTATCCTTTTTTTTTTTTTACCTTTTTGGAGAAACTTCCTGCAGGGTTTTTTTATTTGCTCATCATGCAGAATAGCAGCAGAATCTGTGAAGATTAGGAAAAAAATATTTTATGTCCATTGCTATTGCTTATCAAATTTTATGCTGTAAATGCTAATGTAATTTATGCTAATGTACAGATGTCATTTAAAAGCTCATAGATATTGGTCTTGCATGTCATTGCTGACAATGTAAATATTTTATGTTTTTTAAGGTCTTAAAGCCTGAGCTTGTGTGGGAGGTGGCGCGTTACCAGCTAGAAACAGTCCGGCTCTCCTACACGCATAGGTGGGCTCTGGAAATCAACTACTTGAGAGACGCTGGGCCTTCTTTTACTTTGGAGTGGCCCGTATGGAGTGACGGAGGGTGGAGGTAGATCTGCTGGTCTCCCCACTGCTCAGGTGTCTCGTGTTGGATGATAGGGTCGCATCCCTTCCAGTTGAGGTGAGGTCTCCGACTATAAGGGGATCACACTACTCAGCCTCCCTAGGAGAGCCAATGCCAGAATCCTGTGGAGAATAGTATGGCTGATGGTGGAACCTTGGCGTTAGGAGGAGCTGTGTAGTTTTCGTCCTGGCCATAGAACAGTGGACCAGCTCTACACTCTGCAGTGTTCTCAAGGGTGCTTCGGAGTTTACTCAACAGGTCCACATGTTTTAGATAGATTAGATAGGGTGTAAAGCTCAAGGGAGGCTTGGTGTAGAGCCACTTCTCATCCACATTAAGATGAGTCATCTGGGGTGGCTTGGACATCTATTCCAGATACCCCTTGTATGCCTCCGGTGAGAGGTGTTCCAGACACATGACCCTCAGGAGGAGAGTTCCTGCCTCAAGTGGAGAAGTTCAAGTATCTTGGGGTCCTGTTCAAAAGTGAGGGGAGAAGGGAGCTAGAGATCGATCGACGGATCGGTGCGGCTGCTGCTATAATGCAGACGCTGAACTTGTCTATCATGGTGAAGAGAGAGCTGAATATGATAGGCAAAGCTCTTAATTTACTATTGGGTCTATGTTCCTACTCTCACCTATGCTCATGAAATCTGGATCNCCGTAGTGTGGCTGGGCACTTCATTAGAGATAGGGTGAGATAGGGTCTTTGATTAGATCAAATGTCAGTGATTCTTACCCCTGAATTGGTCAAACCAGGCCTTTTTCGCTCTGTGATGCTGAACACCATTCAAATGTTTCTTCCTGTTGTGCATGTTGTCCTGAAAGGACCTATCACAGTAGTCACAGTAATACCTCTTCCCCATTGCAATCCGATAGAAAAGCTGTCAAAAAGAAACAATAAATAAATAAATATTTCCAAATTAAAATCACTCATTAGCTTAAACTAAGTAAAAGAAAAACAATAAGAGATATGGACAGAGCTCTTGTAAATTCATTAGACATCTGCTTGTTCATTTTGTTCCTTCCTCATCACAGAAAAATAATATCACACTTAAAAGTAGAAAACATGGGGAAAGCAATAAAATGCAACACAAGAAAAGAGTGATGAAGCTGATTACACAGTAATTTATTGGTGGAGAATTAAAGCTGTACTACTGAACTTCTCAGTCATATTCAGAGAAGCACCTGCGGTCAAAAAAAGTTTAAGACCATTTATTAGTGTTGCACCGATACAGATACCAGTATCGAGCGGGGCTCCGATTCTGCATTAAAATGGTGGCATTGGTATCGGCGAGTACTAACAAATAAGGCACCAATACCATTTTGAGAGCCAAAAGTTTATTCAACTCTTGTCACCCATTCCAGTCAAAAAGCCATACCAGATTCACTTTGTATTAGTCTTTTTCCTGCTCACAAAGGTAGGCAGCACCTTGACAAAGCCATGATGGCAATTATTTTACATTCAAGTAGTATGCAGTTCTTCATATATATACACACACACACATCAATTTCAAACAGATGGTATCGGTATCGGCCGATAACGTACAGCCAGGTATCGTATCGGGGCCAAAAAATGGCTCCGGCGCAACACTACCATTTATATTAATATTCAAGGTGTCAACACCTCTTTTTTCCAAAATGTTCACTCTTTCTCAAGGTATAGATTGGATCAAATACTGACTGATTATGCAGCAGTCGCACCAGATTCATTTTATTGGATTAATTATGGGTAGTTAATGGGAATAAGATCAGGAGAGTTTTGTTATAGACATAATATGTAGTTATGGAACCATTTTATTTTAGTTTTTATTTATTTATTTATTTATTTATTAAGAATTCATTATTACATCTACCTAGAGCTGAAACAATTAATCGGATTAATTGCGATTAATCGATTATTGTAATAATCGTCAACTAATTTAGATTATTTGTTAACTGGACTTTAGAGACTGTAAAATATGCTTATAGGTGACATATCAACCAGCCCTTGAGCAGCAATTATACCACATTTATAAAAAAAAAGATATATAAACATTTTCATTTAAGATTAAAAAATATATATATATATATATACACGTTTTCGTCTATCAGTATGCTCTATCCAGAACCCCATAAGTGGAATCCTTTTAGTTTCACCTGGTTTAATTTTGTAAAAAGTCTTCTTTAAGAAACCTTTTGCTATCCGATTATTAATCGAAAAAATAATCAACAGATGAATCGATTTGAAAGATAATTAATAGTTGCAGCCCTACATCTAAATTGTTATGTGAGAAAATGCATTTGTTTTACCATCACCATCACTCCTATTGGTTTCACGAGCAAAATTGCTCAACTTTAATGTTTTTAACTGCTTCTGCATCAGTTTGTTTTTATACATTTTAATTACTCCCACATTCTTGGAGAGCAAACCAAACACATAAAGATCCCGAGGAGATTTAATTGCTGGCAGATATCAACTAATCCCTGAAAAGATGCTAGAAAATCATTTTTTGATTTCTTTAAATAAAGATCTGATCACTCTTCTACGGAAGAGTTAAAAAGTTAAATGATTTTAATTTTTATTTCAGTTTAATATGGGGAAAAAGTCAGAATTCTGAGATTAAAGTCAGAATTCTGAGATTAAAGTCAGAATTCTGACTTTTTTCTCAGGATGACTTTGATCTCGGAATTTTGACTTTTTTCTCAGAATTCTAAATGAATTCTGACAGCTAACATGTTAGCATCAAACCGTAGTCATGTCTGTTTTAGAGACTAAACTAGCTCTCTTTTTTTTAAATCACCTTCTGCCCTTCCATTAACGAAATAGCATCACTTTTTACGTGCCCTCGCCTAATTCCGTAGTGTCCCACCAAAGTGTTACTGGCCCTCCCAAACAACTCACATCTTTGTCAGTGAAGTTGAGTGCTTCGACATCTCTTCCTTCATGGTGCCCATCTACATTAAGATCCACAATCATGAGATTAAAGTCAGAATTCTGAGATTATAGTCATAATTCTGAGATTAAAATCAGAATTATGAGATTAAATTCAAAATTTTGAGATTATAGTCAGAATTCTGAGATTAAAATCAGAATTCTAACTTCTTTCCCCCATATTAAAACTGAAATAATATTTAAAAATCAATTTTTTGTTTGTTTGTTTTTTTCTTCAGTGGCCCTAATCCCCTTCTGCACTCTTCATATATATATGCAATGAATAGCCAGAAAGCTAGAGTACTAAAGTTTGTCCAAAACAAATCATTTACGTTTCCAAACTTTCTGATTGTTTACAAATATTTTGATATGACATACCGTTTAACGGTGTCCTTATTGATTAAACTTCCAACTCCAACAATGTCCAACTGCTTCACTTTAGCTGTTATTCTGAATCCAAGCAAATCTTCAAAATACAAAAAGCAGTTTATCTGTGGTCATATTTACATCGTGTAGCTAGCAGCAATCAATTGGAGGAAGTTAGCCGTTGTTTCTACTTCCGCTTCTGCGCACTGCTCCTCACAGAGACAACATGGCGCTGGCTAAGACCGTCTACAATCTCCTCTTCAGGAGGACGTCTACATTCGCTGTAACTATCATGGTTGGAGCGGTCTTTTTTGAACGGGTGTTTGACCAAGGCGGTGATGCTATTTTTGAGCAGATGAACCGCGGGGTAAGTCCGCTTTTGATCGTTTTAATCGACGCTGACCTTGTAAGCAGAGGGCGAAGCGGAGCTAACGTTAGCTTAGCTTGGCTAGCCGGGTCTGTAAATGACCGTAAGTTAAGTTTCGTCTGTAAATAACGTTCTTTATTAACTATTACAGAAACTATGGAAACACATCAAACATAACTATGAGAGCAAAGAGGAGGAGTAGGACGCTACCCTGGGTTATATAAGGCTGATCCGGTTTCCATCACCATGTATTCCTGGATTCATCACCTTAGTGAAGGTGCTGTCATCTTGGACAATGTGCACTAAGTCATACCCAGGCTGGAGTGGACTGTGAGAAGATCTGTGGAAGCTGACAGGCTGCCTCAACTACCGGGGGAAATGGATCAAAGCTCGTCCTCTACATTGCATATATTTCCTTCAAGTTCATTGTCTTCAGATTGTAAATTGTTATATTAAACATGTCTCGATGTCATCCAAAGTTATGATTTTTCTTTTTCTTTAATCATACAACTTAAAGTTGCCAAAGATGTTATTGTCAAAGCATCTGTAGTGAAGGTTTGGGATTTAACCACTGTACCTTTGCACTTTGGAAAGTAGGATTTGATCCGATTTTCTAGTGAGTATAATTATGTAGAAGGAAACTAACCCATCTCCTTATTTAAATGTTTTCTATCTTTTATGTCATACCTTCCTCACTAACTTGAACTGTCCTTTTTTGTCCTTCACTTGTTCCTGTATCCCATATTGAAACCATATCCACTTTAGTGTGGTATGTTATGTATTTAGATTATATTATAAAGGACCAAGGGTCTTGAGAAATTGAGTTATAAAAATATTTTATTGAAATTGAACAAAGGGATGATTTACAATTTCTAATCAAAACTACATAAACTCAGGTTTTCTTTTGATACCTTCGTAACAATGTTTATAGTGGATTAATATAACAATCACTAACTCAAAATCATGTTAAGTTTAAATGCAAATAAATTAGCAGTTTTCTTCACACGATATAGGGGTTTCAAGTAAGACACATTACATACATTTCACAACAGTAAAACCACAGTAGTAACATTGCCTATAAATATCACGCACAGCTTCTGCAAATGTGTAAAATATTTATTATAGGTAAGCGGCCTTGATCTTTGCTTGTTACTCAAATGTGTCTGAAGATCAATCCAATTTTGCATATTGGGTGTATTGTCTAGATGCATGATGTGTCATTAAAATCCTAAATATGACCATAATATGAACTCAATACTTGCAATGTATTTGAACAGCATTGACCCTTTTTTGTAAAACATCAGAGAGGTAGAACTGGTTAAAATGTCAGCTCTTAAAGTGTCTGCACCAGGTCATTTCACAAGTTCAGTCAATTATTGCATGGTAATTATAATAGCTGAGATGGCTTGCTGTCACCTGGTGAAGGCTGCAGATGAGCCTTAAGCCTCCAGGTGTCACACTAACACTATTTGTAATGACAACTCAGCACTTCCAACCAGGATCTAACTTGTGATTATTCCCATCGTACCTGTGTTACCCCAGACTTTAAAAAAAGAGCACCATAGCCCAAATGAGGGAAAGTCAAATAAAGATGGTCTCTTTGTCAGAGGGTGTTTCTGTATGGGTGCAAACATTGGCAGATCCCCTCTTTTTCTATGATAAAATATATATTTTTTTTTTTGCAAAAAGATATTGGCTATGTTTTTAAAATAAGAAACCTTATTTCCTCTTGTTTTTTTATGTGGTAGAACAGTGTAGAACAAAGCAGGATTAGACTGGTATATGCATAGCAGTCTTAATGCTGGTCTCAATATAGGTATTTGTGGTTGTTGAAAAACAATATCTATTAGATTATGGACTCATTATGAGCATAGCTACTCTAGATGTCTTTAGTCTTTAATCACCCTCGAACATTACATTAGAATTCTTGAATCTAATTTCAAACTCAGCTGTGCTTTATGGCCAAATGTTCCTAAAATGTTAAATCCTCACATACTAAAAGGAACAATATGCAAAATAAACACAAGATCTTTCCCAGCTGCTTAAGTAGCCAGCTGACAGAAAAGCCCTCAGGGCTATGAGAAAAATTGCTTAAAACTATAACGCTTGTTGATTCTTTTGATGCAACCGAAAAACATTAGGGTTTTACTCTTTAGACTAAATCTGTATTTGAAACAGTTTAAACAGAGAACAAATTGCATTCACCATTAACAAATTGAAATGACTAACTTTTTTATCCCATAATAAATACCTTTTAATTGCAATGCAAACTATATTTAGCAAGCAGACGTAATGTTTGTTTAAATTCTTTGTTTAAATTGTTTTTTTATTCCATTATCTTAAAGGATAGCAAGTCCCATCTTAGTTTAGAGAAATGAACCTTAGTTCAGTGACAAACAAAAGCTGACATTTTGTATTAATCCTAAACATAATATTAAAAGTTGCTTAAAGGACATCCAACTCCCTCAGTGAGTTAAATTCTGTCCTGATATATATATTCAAATAAAGTTAAATTATAAAAATGAAAACAGACATTTAAAAAATAGAATCTTTCAACCAACCCCATAGTCTAGTCACCCAAAGATTCACACCCATGTCTGATAAATACTGTATTTCAGGTGTGAGCATTTTTCCACATATTGTCTTCCATTTAGGATCAATGTCTTTCCTCAAGTTGTACCCCATGATGGATTTCTCTCCGACGGGCTGCCAGGGCCGGAAACATGTGTCCTTAATCTTCTGGGCCTCAACCGCATCTCCACCATCAACACAGATGGCCCTCATCTCAGCATTTCGTCTCCTCAGCTCCTTTACATCTTGTTCCATTCTTTCTCTTCCATATGCCTCTACCTTCTGCCAGAAAGTAGCATTAAAGTGTTCATAGAGTTTCCAGTCAGCCCAGTTCCACTGTAAGGCTTTGACTCTCATCTCAGGGTCCAGATGATTCACAGATGAGGTCCTGCGAGCGTTTAGCTTAAAATACAGGATGTCCTCCATTGACCAACAAAGTAAATCCTTTAGCAGAATCAAAGATTCCTCAAAGTATTCAGCAATGAGGACCAAATGAAAACGTTGGGATAAGGAATGAATTGCCTCCATGATACGAGGATCATTGACTCCAAGGTTGTTATTGAAACCAAAGTCAAAAAACAGCAGGTTTTTAAGATAGAATGAGTTAAAAGCCTCTGGACTGTAGAATGCCTCAGGATTGTTCAGAAACTCAGTCAGTTTGTTTTTCCCACTGATGCCCCATGTTAAAGGAACAGCTCTGTGATAGTAATGGAAGGCGGACTCAAAGAGATCCACTGGGTCCCGTAAGATGGTGACATACACAGCGTCTGGAGGCAGAAGTTTAGCCACTTCTTGATGGTTGAAACGCATGTGGTTGCAGACAATGTTGAAGCACTGCCCTGGTTTGTAGTCTTTAACCTGGAAGCGCAGGAAAGGCTGTGGGTAGCAGAAATCATTACGTCTGTCAGGTAGGGCGAACTTCAGCTTGTGCTTTTCCCCAAACCTGAAGAGGATGTTGAGGATGGTGCTGCTCGCGGTTTTATGAGTCTTCATGAACATGATGTTCACTTTGGGGGAGCATTTCTGTTTGGGTTTAGAGCTCTCACTCAGGATGGCGTGGTTTGTTTTTGCCATGCTGAGGGGACAGGTCTCTTCTTGGGTAGGCCTTACAGAGAAACAAAGAGTTGCATTAGAATCAGCTGTGGTCAGAGGTTCACATACAGCCATAGCCATAAATATTCATTTTGATAAGTGATATTCTTCACCATGGAGTGATGATACAACACAATTTGATGCAAAAGCATGATTATTTGGTGGATTTGCTTACATTTAAACACAGTCAAAATTATAGGTTCATATCTAGTATAGCATAAAGTCCTTAAAATATTAGTCTCTTTGTATTTAATTTATTTAAAACACATAAACTGAATTACTGACATAAAGGAACTTTTCTTTAATTTTCTAGTTTTGAATAGATCTGTATAACCCTGCTTTATCCTTCCAGAAAAGCGTCAAAGGGGTTTTCACAGATCGTTGTTCTCCAGTTGTGTCCTAGTTTCTGGTTGAGTACAAATCCCAATGGGAGAAAAACAGCCCCCACAGCATGCTGCTACCAACGCCATACTTAACAGCTGGCACAGTACAGTGGGGTTTTAACACCTTTGTTGGACTAGTAAAAGCATTGTTTTACTGTTACCGAGTCCATATTGCTAGATTATTGATTGCTCTTACCATAGAACCATTTTCCTGGAGGCATGGCCAACTGCAAATTTCTGTTGCACTTGAAAGGACATTGTTTTCACCAGTACCTTATTTTTTAATGGTACCTGACACCTGGTTACCAAGGATAATCACACTTGTGTTCATGGCAGCCTTATGCCTCTGAAGTCTCTGGATGGTTTTTGCTATAGAACCAAATGCCCTTTTATATTAGGGTGACAGTTTTGGGCAGATGTTTGAAACCTGGACACACCTATGAGTTTTTAATAAGAAGATGTTTCCAGTCACATCAAAAATAGTTTTAGAATTAAGAAAACATGGATAATACTGAGTATTTGTAAAGCCAGGACCTTTGTGAACGGTGGTTTAAAATAATTTCGTACTAATTCTGCCATTGAGTGGTCAGCTATCCAGTCAGCATAATTACAGATGTTTCTTAATAGCTGAATATAAGATTTAAAACCATGATGAGAGCACATATGTGTAGGTTTAACACAATGTGCAGAACGATATTTATGAAATGCTTTATTCTTTTTAACCTTACCTTATGTTCACATGGTTCGTTGTTTTCAAGCAGTAGAGGACCAACAT